GATGGCGGTAACAGCGGATTGAGCGTGTACTAATATTTTTCATGAAACTGAACGATTTGCGTGCAATACTTAATGTCTGTTATAAAAGTAAAATAAAATATTATATACGCCTATATATAATATCGGCACAGAGGGAAAATGATCCACGGACTTTGTCGTTGGTAGTCCATTACTTTACGTCGATCCAGTTCGAGAGACATTTAATATGTCTTGAAGTAGACCGTAACAGATTGATAGATTTTCGGGTTTTCCTATCCTTTGTAGATACGAAAAGTAGACAGGTGCGTTATAAAGCGTCCCCCAGTGGGACAGTGGTAAATTCATGAACTAACAACACTAAAATATCTACAGAAATATTGAATACAAGTCTAAATGTTTTCATTTTAATCATTATTTTGTTATCCGTGTTATAACGTCAACAAGGTATGTCACAGGACATTGATATATACGATAAATGGACAATAAAAATGTCTGTTTCTAATCTGTTTCATCATTTTTAAAAATATTCACTGGCTTACTTTTCGTTACTTTATTTTCCTAATATACACACATCTACATACTCTCTGAGCTTTCTTTCCCTCATCCATGTATCTAATTTTCGAGCCTTCTTTTCCTTTAAAATATATATAAGTACTCTATAGTTTCTCGTCCTTCACACACAGCTAAGTGCTTTAAATTTTTCTTTACTTTTTGCATACAAACTTCTCTATATATATATATATTTTTACCTATCATTTATACGCTTGCACACCCTCTAATTTTTTGCCCGTATACGTATGTCAAAATCTTCACTTTTTTCTGTTCATACATACATCTGCACGTTTTCCTAACTATCTTGGATAAAACATGTATATAAATATAATAGTATTGTCTGTTGTATGTCCATGTAACTACTTCGCAGGGTGTGGATGGATTTTTACCAAAATTGGTATGGATGTTTATTAGGTCCATGCGGGGGTACATACAAATTTACAATTTTGTGATTTTTTACCACTACTTCGCCTCCTGTTGATAGATCTTCACCAAATTTGGCATGAAGGTTTGATTGGTCCATGCGGAGATACAAGCAAAGCTGCGGTTTCACATTTTGTGTTTTGCAGTTTTTATGGACGTTTTTGCAACTTTTCATGTTCTAAAATAACCTTTCATTAATCATGAATTTACATAACTTCCGTCCAGGGGACGGGTACTCTAACTAATATATAAATATAGTTAACAAGATTTGTTTCACACACACACACACACACACACACATATATATATATATATATATATAGTAAATTACTTACCATAACCCTGAGAAATAGAAAAAAACGAATGTGTACACACAAACACACAGAACTATTTTTCCTGCAAAGTTATACTTGCTTACTTAGCTTTGTTTCCATTCAACACACATTTATATATTTTTCATCTTTGTTTCACTTTAAAACATACCTATATACTTTCCTTCCTTTTCTTCATACATAGTTTATAACTTGCATGCTATCTCAGATTTGTTTTTCTTACATCCTGCATACTTTACGAGCTTTGTTTTGTTTTTGAAGATTAACTTCATAAACTAATTTAGAAAGAATGATAATAAACCAGTAGATTATCAATTTATCTTTCATTGAGTTTCTTTTTCATTTGCCATCTTCGTATTCCAATGGTTCTTTTCCTCTGGAGGATATTGTAGAGAGTTACCTTATATTAAAAACGTCAGCATTCAGAATTTTCTAAGGACAGATTGAATCAGAATCTTTCATAACTATAGCATAGAGAAAAGAAAATTTTATAAAGAAATTCTCTAGTCTAACAGAAAGTGGAAGGTCTTGTAAATAAATGTATCAGCTGTTTACTCAAGTTAAAATATATGCACTGCATAGCCAGTTTAATCAAAACACAGACGTCAGTCAACTGCTATAACATTCAGGGAAAGGTACTAGATACTGCTTGTCACATATGATGCTCAAAAGTGTAATAAGTTCGGCCAAAGCAAAGGCTTAGTATCAAAAGCCTTTTCTATCTATAACCTAACATGTTATTCTTATCAAAAGATCCATAATTCAGAATAAGTCTTAAAAAAACAAAGAAGTAGTAAATCAAAACGCGCTTTACAAGTAAATACCTTACTTTATCTTTGATATTGAACCATGATCATAAACAAATCAAAGTTTCCGAAAAGTTTTTGTTGCAAATACGAGTTTCATTTTCAAAAATACATATCACTTCCCCGAAAAGGGTATTCTTTTTTAACCATTCGCACCACTATACAGTAGTGTGTTGTCTGTCAGTCAGTAGGTAGACACTAAAATGATGTCACACAAAGGACGCTTAACGTTGCAATTTGTACTGTCGTGACGTCAGTAAAATGTTCGCATGCTTTTAATAACGAGAAGAATTATGGATTATGTAGGCTACAACACAGCATGACATATGAATTTTAAAAGCAAGATATAAGAATATTTGTTACGCTTAATTTTTGTTTTATTTACTTTTGAAACATAAAATTTTCGGGTACTCTGCGTAGGTACATCTAGTTTCTAGTATATAGCAGCATCTACTACAACAAATATAAAAAGTTACACAGCTTACGGAAGTGTGAACGTTTGGCAAAACTAGAAATTTTATTGTGCTAAGCGTCAGATTCTTGATCAAGTACTTCGATCACTTGAAAGTCCTGACGTTGAGGAAACAAATATTTTAATGTTACAATCACGTGGTTTATATGATTACCGCCCTCCGCCTGATGGTGCCGTTCTTCTAAGAACATGAAAAGCCGAAAATGAAAACAGTTTTATTGACTATTATTTGTGTGTGATCTAATTTTATGAACCAGTAAACCTTTAGTTAATTAAAAATACGCATAGGTAGAGGATGATGTGGTTACCAGAGAGAAAACAAGTAAGCATATTTGGAAAACAAAACATAGAAAGTTATAAAGATGCGTTTTTAGTTGTTTTTTACTCATCACAGCTAATTTATATGTACTGTTTGTTTAAGAACAAAGTCACGTTGGGCTACCTGCTGTGTCCACCGTGGAGAATCTAACCCCAGATTTTAGGGTTTTAAGTCCGTAAACTTTTTGCTTTCCCACCGGGGACCACCTATACTTATATAGAATTTGAACAATGCATAAGATTAATGATACAAGTTTATATCTTCTACATTATTCAGCAGACAAATTGTTTTGGATACTAAAAAATAAATATTATTCCCAATTTATTATTAGATTCATTTTTCACTGAGTTATACCCATCCTCAGTAACCCTGTTCAAGGACAAATAACATAATAAGACTAGGCTTTTTATAGTGGTGGAAACCATATATTACATGAAAGGTGTTTTTTTTCGATTTGTTCTTGATCAGGGTTACTAACTAGGGTTGAAATTCCAGAAAAATGGTTAGTTTCAGTGAGAGAGAGGAAAATCAAATGATTTACTGGACGTCATATTTAATTTTAGTAAGTCAAAGAGAAAGTGGCGATTACCTGACGTTTCAGTTTCACCATATCATTAAAAATCAACAACAAGTGGAAAAGTAATTTGTGATACATATATTTCAAGCAGGTGTTGTGACGGATTTGTTATTATACAATTATTTGAATATCGATGTTTGTTTAAATTAAATTTATATTTAGAAATGTACATAACTTATACTGTTAAGTATATATTGCGAAACTCCCGCCTACTCTCTAAAGTTGTAGAATATTGCCGAGTGTAAGAATCAACAATATATGTATCTGCGTAAACGATAGTGTTAGCGTCAGTATTATTACGTAAACTGAAGTTTCGAGAAACTCTCCACACGCCCATAAATATAACCAACGCGACGCGCCAAAGAAAGAGTATCTATTATCAGTTTGCTATAGTTGGCGTGCTATAAACTTTGGAGGCTATAACTGTGATTATTATAACACATATTAATCGGAAAACTTACGATATTTAACCAGGAAATTTTTAAATTCCGAACATTACAAATCATTTAACTTCAGTGAATTCACATCGGACATTAGTACTTTTACGAAAACATTACCAAACGTCATCGATAGAAAAAATCGGCGTGTGATCAACACGAAATTAACTCGCTCATCGTGAACCCTCGATAAGATATCAAGGAAGTTCCAGACGAGAAAGAAGACTTTATATTGCTTGTAAGTTTGTAAAACTTTTGTATATAAATCATTGTATGTAATAACTATTTATAATAACTGTTATTGTAAATTGTATCATTGGTTGTATACTAAAATATATTTGTATTAAAAAAGAAAACTGTGTATATCAATCTCGTTGGCAAATATTATAAATTGAAGATACATATCGGTATATTTAACTACAAAATCTAAATTACAATCTAATTCAATTTCAGGCTATTTGAAATTGTAATGCGTAACAATGTTCTTTCTAAACACCCTTCGTTGAAAAAATAAAAGATTATAGGTTTTAAAAAGTGTATATGTATATATATATATATGTTATTAACTTCAGAAAGAAAAGATGCAAGAAACCTTTAGTTCGTTTTATATTGTTATTATTTACCTGCATTGCATCATGCTATTTTCTCAATCTAACTGTTAACTGTTAATCCATACTATTGTATATCATGTTTAAAGAAACAAAACCAAAATGTTGTCTAATATAAAAAAAATAGACGAAATATGCAATCTTTGTACTAAACCCCGTAATCTTATAGTAACTTTTACTTCCAAAATACTTTTAATCTAAAATGTAATTCCACATATACAGCAACAGTAAAGTAATATATGCTAGAATACATGTATGATTTCTGATCAAGTAAGTTGAATTTAATGGAAATATTGTGTTAGCTAATTAATAGTTATTTTGCATTATAATCTACACATCGGGATATTCTATATTCAAATATCATGTTATGTAAAATACACCTTCCAAGCTAGGTTTTGTCTCCGAGATATTTTTTTCGTTTATCTATATTTCGGCTTAAAAATAAACTGTTTGTAAGAAAGCACTTAAAGGTTCAAGCCACATAGAAAATCTTACTCTTTTTTTTTCCCTTTCCTCCTTATATTTTTCTTTGATCGAACATAATACTTTGGAGTCTTGATTTTCTTTCAACCAGTGTCGTGAACACATACACACTCGTATTTCTATTCCTTTTTTTTTAGCTGAAGTGGGTTTTAAACGATTCTGAAAAATAAAATAATGTTTCCTGAAACTAGGTTCTTGCGTGATAAATAAATATAGTACTAAATATCAATAACTTGAATTAAATACAATGTACCTTCACGAGTTTCGATTCATAAGATCTTTAGTGTTATTAATATACCAACATTCTCAGAATTGGTAATTACATTGTACCTTTCTTTTAAACTCAACAATGATAGTCACGAGTTGTTTTCACACGGTTTAATTAAATGTTATCATGAATTAAAGTTGTTTTTGATATACGTTCTGCAAGCAAAGATTATTGATTGAATAAAAAAAAATAGTATACATGATTTACGAAGAGAAACAAAACAAAAAAGAATCATCAGGGAAAATGTTTTAACGACAGTAGTAGATCATTGACCCAATCTATTATGAGGAAATTTAATTAACAAACTCTATCATTTTCTTTCTTCCAGAGAAAAGCAACATTGGGTTATATGCTGTGTCAACCGCCGAGAATCGAACCCAAGATTTAGCGTTCGAAGTCTATAATCTTACCGCTGTCCTAGCAAGGGACATATAACTTCTCAAGATAGAGTTTAAAAGGTTAGGTTTTATTGACTAGATGTTAGATTATCTATAGAAAAGTATCGGTGTCAGTTGAAAGAACCATTTCATTGTAGTTACATCTACTGTACGTGGGTTATGCAGATGTAACCGAAAATACATTGAAAATATACGGATTATTATTGAAGGAGTCGACTGAAATCTATTTGTTTTCTTTCTTCTGAACCAGTGTATAGGTGAGTGTATGTGATTAGTTGTCATTAGTTATCGATGAAATGGTTTTTTTTTTCGATAGTAAAGCTTTATATTATGTTCATTTAAACGTGACTCGAAAGTCTGTATAAGTCTTTCATACATATATATCGTGACGGATTTATTATTTATTTATTTTAATATCGTTGTTTGTTTAAATTTAAG